GACTCACCCCAAGACCGGGACTCACCCCAAGACCGGGGCTCACCCCAAGACCGGGACTCACCCCAAGACCGGGGCTCACCCCAAGACCGGGGCTCACCCCAAGACCGGGACTCACCCCAAGACCGGGGCTCACCCCAAGACCGGGGTTGCCTTCACACTCAGACGTCCGTCAGGTCAAGACCAGCTCTTCATGACCCAGACCCTGCCGGGCCTGGTAATGCACAGCTAATGCACACGAGAGGCGTAATGCCATTTGTGAAAACCCAGTAATGCTAACCAATCACAGTATATATTGACCAATATACAGGTGACACTAGGGACCGGGGCTGCCTTCATACTCAGATGTCAGTCAGGGCCATTCACCTTTTACAGGAGCAAAGGAAACCCCCTCAATACACACAGAAATACACGTCTAAGAATTCATGTCTAGAATACCAGAAAAACTTCAAGGCACATTTGTAATTTTATAAAGTAAAACTGAGGCCAGGCATGGTGGCTCATGCCCGTCATCGTCCCAGCACTTGGAGAGGCTGAGACAAGAGGGCCCTTCCAGCCCAGGAGTTCCAGACCAGCCTGGGCAACAGAGCGGAACCCTGTCTCTATGAAAAAAAAAAAAAATCAGCCAGGTGTGGTGGCAGGTGCCAGGGGTCCCGGCTACTCGGGAGGGCTGAGGTGGGTGGATCACTTGAGCCCAGGAGGTCGGGGCTGCAGTGAGCTGACGAGTGAGTTAAACTTGGTCAGAAGATGCGGAGCCCACATATAAAAACCAACAGTGCTTCTCGCCACTCGCCATCGACCATCGTGTTAAAGTAAAAAAACGCCACGTACAGCGTCAGCAGAAGTGGGAAATGCTTGGGTATCGACGTGATGAACCGCGAACAGGACCAAACACGACGAGGCGTCCCGACGGAAACGAAAGACGCCTGAAATAAGGGAGAGCTGGACCGTGTTCCCGAGACGGAAGCCTCAAGACGGTCGAGGTTCTTCCAAGTTAACCTGGAGTCAACGGGATGCCAGCGCCATCCCAGCAGCTGCTGTAGCCATGGAGGGGACGGCTCTGACATTCACACGGTGGGAACGGGAAACGGTGCGGCCGCTCGGGGCGACGGCGTGCAGGTTCCCCAGAAAGCCGGCAGTGGGACTGCACACGCGCACGGAATGCCACGCGATGCGGCCCTCACTCGCTCGCTCACTCACTCGCTCACTGACGGAGAACACGCCGTGGGCCGTGACTCAGGCCCTCACTCGCTCACTGACGGAGAACACGCCGTGGGCCGTGACTCAGGCCCTCACTCGCTCACTGACGGAGAGAATGCGAAACAACACGGGCCTCACGCAGGGAAACCTGAGGATGCCAGCGACACCCGGGCTACCCGTTCGTCCCCTGGTCCGGGGCCCGGCTCACAGAAAACCGTCCCAAAGGCACACGGCGGAGACGGGGACGGACGCCCGCATGTGGCGGTGAGCTGGGCGCCCCCCAGACAGGCTCAGCGGCCTTGGGGGGAGCGGAACATGGCCTGCGGCCCCCGCACATGCGGGACACTCACGGGGTTCTGCTGCCACAGCGCAGGTGCATTAAGTCACGAAAGCACAGCCCCTGCCGGCCTCTGCCCACAGTCACCGTGGGGGCCCGAGCACCACGCGCTCTGCCTGCCGGGGCCGGGCCGGTGCGTGTACGAACAGCCGGTGTGTGCACGGACAGCAGGGCCTGTGGAGGTGTCCCTCGGACTCCCAGCGGTGCAGACACTGCAAGCAAGAGAACTCCAGTCTCAGAGCTCTCCCCTGTCCTGCTGGGTCACACCCAGCTCACCCTGCTTCTCGGGGGCATCGAAGACCATGAGAAAACTTGCTTTTTCCCACCAAACGTGACACCCGGCCAACGGGCCAAGTTCTTTCAAGCCTGGAAGCCTCACCACCTTCGACGGCCACCAAGGCCGCCGCCGCCGCGCCTGAAGTGAGGTCACGCGGAAAGCTGCGTCCCGGGAGGAAAACGACAGGAAGCGTGCACGTGAGAACCAGGCGCCGTGGCGGGGAAGCCCCGAGGGGAACGTGTGGGTCACGTGCAGGAACCTCACCGCGCTGCGTGAGTGGCTTGGTAGGACCCGAAGGGGACACAGCACGCGAGCCGCAGAAGAGGCGACCGACCCGGCCGGCGGCGTGCACCCTGCGTGTGGGGCTGGGCAGACTCGGCGAGGGCGAGTTCTCGACATAACCGAGGCTGTGCTGAAAAGGATGAAGCCGTCCCAGGTGCAAGCAAACAGACTTCCCCGTGAAGGAACTCTCAGCGACATCCCACAGCCTCAAGAGCACGGAGGATAACACACTGGAAGCCGAGACACACGTGGAGAGTCGAGCGAGCCTGCCAGGGCGGGCAGTGGGTGCCCACTCCACACCGGACATGGAGACGGCACGGCTGTCACTACTTCTGTGGCACGTTTTTACCGAGACATGAAACAATTCTTAACGTGTGTGGTGTTTTAAATTACAGCATACTAGGTAAATATTAGCTTTTTTCATTCACTCCACGTTTGCAACCAACTGTAAGAAAGTTTCTAATATTTCAACAAAAGCAACTACAGAGTGACCCTAATTTTCCTTGTAAGACGGCTTTGCATGCTCGCAGCTTATCTGGTCCTTACACGGCCCCACGCTGCCGTGCAAGACGCCGCCACCTCTACAGATACGGACTTAGTAAGAACAAATACCCAAGCGTAAAACAGCATGCCAATTTTTCTCTCAGAAATGCAAGATGTATGCATGTTCATCCTCATACACACATTCGCGTGTACTTGCTCATATTAAAAGCTAAAACGACAATAAGAGGGTAAACTAAAGCTACGGGAACTCTTACCTCGGGGGGAGAAACAGCGCAGACAGGGACGGAACCTGGACTTACCTAACTGTGTCTGGTTTGTTAGCGTTCACTTTGTAACCACAGAGGTTTTTACGTATTTATAAAACAAGACTTTGTAAAATACTTTAAAAGGACAGTCTCTAATAGAGAAAGGGGGGACACTTCCCAACGTGTTCTTTCAGACTCGTATTTCTCTAAAACCAAAACCAGACAAAGGACTCACAAGAAAACTCTCAGGCAGTGTGTTCTCTGTGAATCCAGTTGCAAAAATTACTGGAATCCAGCAACATATGAAAGACACGAGACACACCGGCCACATGGAATTTATGCTAGGAATGCAAGGTTGGTTTAACATCCCCAAACCCACTCATTTAATAGACTGTATTCATAGGTTAAAAATACAAAAACCGGCCGGGCGCGGTGGCTCACACCTCTATCCCAGCACTTTGGTGGCTCACACCTCTATCCCAGCACTTTGGTGGCTCACACCTCTATCCCAGCACTTTGGTGGCTCACACCTCTATCCCAGCACTTTGGTGGCTTACACCTCTATCCCAGCACTTTGGGAGGCTGAGGCAGGTGGATCACTTGAAGTCAGGAGTTCCTGAATCAGCCTGGCCAATATGGTGAAACTCCATCTCTACTAAAAATATAAAAATTAGCCAGGCATGGTGGTACACACCTGTAGTCCCAGCTACTTGGGAGGCCAAGGCAGGAGAATCGCTTGAACCTGGAAGGTGGAGGTTGCAGTGAGCCAAGAGGGCACCATTGCACTCCAGCCTGGGCAACAGAGCAAGATTCTGCCTCAAAACAAACAAGCAAACAGAAAAAACAAAAACCTGCCCACTCCTGAGGACCGCCTTCACAGCTGCAGAGCTGGAGAGGGCTGGGGAGCAGGGGTCTCGCCCCGAGGGGCTCACGAGTACCGTGCACTAAGGCTCTGGGCTCTGACCTGGAGGGGTGGGAGCATCTGCCTTCCGGCGACTCCACCTGGAGGACGGGACGCTGGAGAGGTGGGCCCGGGTCCCTGGAAACACAATCGCCCACCAGGGGTCCAGACACACGTCCCTGGAGTGAGCCTTGCCTTGGTAACGCACAGACACTAAACCGAGCGTGCCCGATCTGCGGACGTCCACGCAGGCAGCCTGGAAAGCAGGCAGCTGAGAAGGAAAGCAGGCGGCAAATGACGAACATGGCGCCGCAGCACTCAGGGTGAGTCCAGAAATGGGTCCTCGGGGCCACTGCCGGGGGACAGGGGTCCACAGCCGCCCAGCCTGGGACAGCGGCTCCTCGGACAGAAAGGGGCACGGCCAGGAGGGTGCTGAACGGCCTCCGGACGAGAATGCAGACGGAATTCCCACTTGAGTTTCAGATGCTTAAGAATTCACTCAGCAGCGACCAGACAGCAAACCTCAGGCCACAACTGTAACCTCAGAGGAAACCTGGGCCACTCCCGCACACGTGACATGCACCTGCCTCGGCCGCTGGCCTCACTCATGCCCGTGTGACACACACCCACCTCGGCCACTCCAGCCTCTCCACCTCACCCTCACACGCTGGTGGCACCTGCCCCGGCCGCCCCACCTCACTCTCACGCGTGTGACATGCACCTGCCTCGGCCGCCCCACCACACTCTCACGCGTGTGACATGCACCTGCCCCGGCCGCCCCACCTCACTCTCACGCGTGTGACATGCACCTGCCTCGGCTGCTCCAGCCTCTCCACCTCACCCTCACACGCTGGCGGCACCCGCCTCAGCCGCCCCACCTCCTCACTCTCACGCGTGTGACATGCACCTGCCTCGGCCGCCCCACCACACTCTCACGCGTGTGACATGCACCTGCCCCGGCCGCCCCACCTCACTCTCACGCGTGTGACATGCACCTGCCTCGGCTGCTCCAACCTCTCCACCTCACCCTCACACGCTGGCGGCACCCGCCTCAGCCGCCCCACCTCACTCTCACGCGTGTGACACGCACCTGCCCCGGCCGCCCCACCTCACTCTCACGCGTGTGACACGCACCTGCCCCGGCCGCCCCACCTCACTCTCACGCGTGTGACACGCACCTGCCCCGGCCGCCCCGCCTCACCCTCTCACACCCGCAGTACCACCTCGGCTGCTCCACGTCACACGGGGGACACGCACCTTGGCCACCAGGCCCATGTCGTCCATGGTGGCTCTCTCGTGGGGGAGGCGGGCGAAGGTGCTCTCGATCTTGCTGATGGCGGCATCCACGTTGAGCGAGTCCTGCGGGCGTCCTCTGGGGAAGTAGAAGGTCGGAATGCTTTGGCTGCTGGCCGGGGGCAGACGCTCTTCTTTCCGCGTCTGAACCTGAAGAGTGACGGACAGCGCTCGGTTACAACCCGGGAGCATCGAACGCCTTCTCCACCCGGACAACACGAGGGGCCTCTCCGGGGCCGACGGTGCCGAGGCCACCTGACCCCGGCCGGGAGAGGACACGCTGCAGTCCCTGTCGGGGACCACAAGGGTACTGCACTGCAGGGGCCACCTCCGCCCAGGAGGACACACGACGCTGCCACAGACCCCATGCTGGGTGGCTGCTCTGCACCACTGAGCCCCCGCCACACCCCACAGGGCCCCGGGGACACGGGCAGCTGCGTGCCCCAGACGTCTGAGAGCCCAGCCAGGACCCACTCCCGACTCCCATGGGCCACAGCACGGACCCCACCACACCCGGCAGGGCCCCGGGGACACGGGCAGCCACACCCCAGGCGTCTGAGGGCTCAGCCAGGACCCACTCCCGACTCCCATGGGCCACAGCACGGACCCCACCACACCCGGCAGGGCCCCGGGGACACGGGCAGCCGCACCCCAGGCGTCTGAGGGCTCAGACGTGGAGAGGCCCAGGTGCCATACACAGGCAGCCCTGCCCCTGGAGCCCGGGCGACTCACGTCCGGAGAGGCACAGGCAGGGCAGGCAACCGCACAGCCAGGCGAAGGGGCCGACCGCCAGGTACTGCTGTGGACACGCCTCAGCCCCTCACCCAGCCCCTCGCCCGCGCCCACGGGCTCTTGGCCCCACTCAGCATCAGCTCTCCCCTCACCCAGTACGTCCACAGGCCCCGGAACACGCACTCAAAAGTCTCCTGCTTCAGTCTCTACACAGCCCGCGAGGTGGACGTGTGATCTCATCCCGTGATGCTGAAACACCGCCTGAAACGGTTAACGGCGTCAGCGACCGCACTGCGTCCTGCTCCACCAACAGCCCAGGGGACGGGCCGTGTCCTTCTCCACCATGACTACTGAGGGGAAGGGCTGTGTCCTCCTCCACCAACTACCCAGGGGACGGGCCGTGTCCTCTTCCATCAACTACCCAGGGGACGGGCTGTGTCCTCCTCCATCAACTACCCAGGGGATGGGCTGTGTCCTCCTCCTCCACCAACTACCCAGGGGACGGGCCGTGTCCTCCTCCACCAACTACCCAGGGGACGGGCCGTGTCCTCCTCCACCAACTACCCAGGGGACGGGCCGTGTCCTCCTCCACCAACTACCCAGGGGACGGGCTGTGTCCTCCTCCACCAACTACCCAGGGGACGGGCCGTGTCCTCCTCCACCAACTACCCAGGGGACGGGCCGTGTCCTCCTCCACCAACTACCCAGGGACGGGCCGTGTCCTCCTCCACCAACTACCCAGGGGACGGGCTGTGTCCTCCTCCACCAACTACCCAGGGGACGGGCTGTGTCCTCCTCCACCAACTACCCAGGGGACGGGCCGTGTCCTCCTCCACCAACTACCCAGGGGACGGGCTGTGTCCTCCTCCATCAACTACCCAGGGGATGGGCTGTGTCCTCCTCCTCCACCAACTACCCAGGGGACGGGCCGTGTCCTCCTCCACCAACTACCCAGGGGACGGGCCGTGTCCTCCTCCACCAACTACCCAGGGGACGGGCCGTGTCCTCCTCCACCAACTACCCAGGGGACGGGCCGTGTCCTCCTCCTCCATCAACTACCCAGGGGACAGGCTGTGTCCTCCTCCACCAACTACCCAGGGGACGGGCCGTGTCCTCCTCCTCCATCAACTACCCAGGGGACGGGCTGTGTCCTCCTCCTCCACCAACTACCCAGGGGACGGGCTGTGTCCTCCTCCTCCACCAACTACCCAGGGGGCGGGCTGTGTCCTCCTCCTCCACCAACTACCCAGGGGACGGGCTGTGTCCTCCTCCATCAACTACCCAGGGGACGGGCCGTGTCCTCCTCCACCAACTACCCAGGGGACGGGCCGTGTCCTCCTCCTCCATCAACTACCCAGGGGACAGGCCGTGTCCTCCTCCTCCACCAACTACCCAGGGGACGGGCCGTGTCCTCCTCCTCCATCAACTACCCAGGGGACAGGCCGTGTCCTCCTCCTCCATCAACTACCCAGGGGACGGGCCGTGTCCTCCTCCACCAACTACCCAGGGGACGGGCCGTGTCCTCCTCCTCCATCAACTACCCAGGGGACGGGCCGTGTCCTCCTCCTCCACCAACTACCCAGGGGACAGGCCGTGTCCTCCTCCACCAACTACCCAGGGGACGGGCTGTGTCCTCCTCCACCAACTACCCAGGGGATGGGCTGTGTCCTCCTCCTCCACCAACTACCCAGGGGACGGGCCGTGTCCTCCTCCTCCATCAACTACCCAGGGGACAGGCCGTGTCCTCCTCCTCCATCAACTACCCAGGGGACGGGCCGTGTCCTCCTCCTCCACCAACTACCCAGGGGACAGGCCGTGTCCTCCTCCTCCACCAACTACCCAGGGGACGGGCCGTGTCCTCCTCCTCCATCAACTACCCAGGGGACAGGCCGTGTCCTCCTCCTCCATCAACTACCCAGGGGACGGGCCGTGTCCTCCCCCACCAACTACCCAGGGGACGGGCCGTGTCCTCCTCCTCCACCAACTACCCAGGGGACGGGGCCGGGTCCTCCTCCACCAAGTGCCACAGAGGAGGGGTCCCGGGAGGAAGCCGGGGAGGAGGGTCCGATGGACCACAGCTCAGGGCCTTTGCAGCCACAATCCTGACTGCCGGGATCAATCCAGGCCTGGGTCACAGCTCCAGTGTCCTCACAGAGAACACAGCCCACCCTGCTACTCCCACAGGACCCTCACCCCACGTCACAAGGGTCCCACACACAGCGCCCAACTGTCCCCACCCTGCTGTCTCCACAGGGCCCTCACCCCAGGTGAGACTCCGCTGCTTTACTCTGATCCCCATCTAGGAGGAGGGAGGCCGCCTCCGGGACCTGGGGCGGAGCAGGCTTCCCTCAGCAGGTGCCGACCGAGCGCTCCTTCAGCAGAGCTTTACCTTCCCGTGTGATTCAGAACGTGAGCTCTGTGCCTGGGGCAGGAGGTCCCTGCACCTCCCCGAGTCCACAGCGCACCTCCCCGGGCCCACAGCGCACCTCCCCGAGCGCACAGCGCACCTCCCCGGGCCCACAGCGCACCTCCCAGAGCCCACGGCGCACCTCCCCGGACCCACGACGTGTCCCCACAGCGGCGTCCTCCCATCTCCCTCCCGCCTCCTGCAGCGGGGGCCCCACCGTGGAGCCTGCGGCTCTTCCCCTCCATCACGCTGGGTTCACACCGCTCTGCTATCTGGGGTACGGAACTGACCCCGCGAATATTCTGCAGCGGGGGCTCTCGGGCCCTCGATTTTGGCAACAGAATGATGACCTGGACACACAAACCAACCTCCCTGCTGGAAACCGCCAGGAACCCCGGACGGTGTGTTTCACAAGCGGCTTCCAGACGGCACCCCAGGCTGGCAGGAAAGGAGGACGCCTCAGGCCACGGCTGCCTGGAAGGAGGAGCCCAGGGAAGGCCGTGGAGCCTGAACAGGCTCTGCCTGCAGAAGCGTGGGCCGAGCGCGCTCACCCGAAATCGCTCAGTCTTGCAGGGCTCTGGGGAAGACGAGGCAAAACCCAGGGTCCTCGGGGGAAGCCGCCCTAAGTGCGGCGCCCAGAACACGGCACCTGCGGTGGGAAGAAGAACTCCAAGGACGTCCCCAGCGCGCCTCCGGCCCCGGGAAGCAAAGGATCAGCCTTCACCTGGAGCTGCCTGTAGGAGCTGCGCAGGGCGGAGCTCTCCCCCGAGAACTTACAGCGACAGCCGACTCTCCGGCAGGTTTGCAAACCAAACCTACGTCACCAGGATGGTGCGCAAACCCTCAAACCGGCCGGGCACAGTGGCTCGTGCCTGCAATCCTGGCGCTTTGGGAGGCTGAGGGGGGCAGGATGCCTGAGCTGGGGAGTTCGAGACCAGTCTGGGCAACAGGGCAAAATTTCACCTCTACTAAAAAAAAAAAAAAAATAGAAAAAATTAGCTGGGTTTGGTGGCAGGTGCCTGTAATCCCAGCTACTTGGGAGGCTGAGGCAGGAGAATCGCTTCAACCCAGGAGGTGGAGCTTGCAGTGAGCTGAGATCTGGCCACTGCACTCCAGCCCGGGTGACAGAGCGAGACTCTGTCTTAAAACAAAAAACAGAAAATTAACCAGGTGTGGCGGCGGGCACCCGTCATCCCAGCTACTTGAGGGGCTGAGGCAGGAGAATCGCTTAAACCCGGGAGGCAGAGGGTGCGGTGAGCTGAGATCGCGCCACTGCACTCCAGCCCGGGTGACAGAGCGAGACTCCGTCTCAAATAAAAAAAAAAAAAAAAAAAAAGAGATGAACACGTAGACACGTTTAGAGCAGAACGTACAGACTATACACACCATTAACAGACCATTCACATGCCGTTAACAGACACCGTGTGACGCAAAAGCTGAGGAAACGCAGCCCGGAGAAGCCAAGAGCTCCCAAAGCGAAGGTCGGAATTGGAAGAAGGGATGAAGGGCGGTAACGAGTGGGAAAACCTGGGCACGCTGACCACAGAAATCAGTGATAACAACGTACGTTCAATTCTTAAAAAAAAACTCAAAACAACTGTCAGTGAAATGGTGACTGGATGAGTGTGTGCCTGTTTGTGAGTTGGAGGAAAAGATATTGATTAATATTGGGCTTTGAAATAGTTAGTTGACATTCCTTTTTTTTTTTTTTTCCTTTAAAGAGACGGGGGTCTCGCTATGTTGCCCAGGCTGGTCTTGAACTCCTGGCCTCCAGCGATTCTCCTGCCTCAGCCTCCCAAGGCGCTGGGATCACAGGGGTGAGGCACCATGCCCGGCCAGCCGCCGATTCTGTGGGATAAACAGTGAGCTCGTAGAAAGCGTGTACCCCAAACGAGAGAAGAGGTGACGGAGCTGAAAAACAGCGGGAGACAGGGATGCAGGATGAGACGTAAGAGTCCATCACACGGACGAGCAGACGACATGGACATCAATGAACCAAGTGTTCCGGTTA